CTGGATGGACGCCGAGGGCCGGCTGGGAGGATGGGGGGCAGGAGGGCGCGCGCTGGCTGGGGCTGGGTGAGGCTGGGGGTCCGGGGCAGGCGGTGGGTGGACCTCCGGGGTTGGGGCTGCCCTGGGGTCCCATGCGGTTGTCCCTTCAGACTGCCCGTTCCCCCGGTTCGAGAAGCTGAGCGTTGAGCGCGCGGCGCACCTGGCGGGAAAGGCGTGCTTCCAGCCGAGGCCGGGATTTGGGGCCGCGGGCCGCACCCCCGATACTGTGTCCAACGTGGGTCTGTACACACGCCACAGGAGTGTGAGGTCTATAATGAGCAAAAGCTCGTTACCCAGAAATTTTCCCGTGTGTGCCCTGTCTGGGAGGTGCCATGAAGGAGAGGGAGTTCCTTGGCCGTCCCTGGAATCTGGGCTGGCTTCTGGTTTGCTGGGCCTGAAGCGTTAGCGAGCTTCCCCAGTCAGGGTATGGGGAGCGCGGGGACTGGCCCCTCAGCCTGGAGACCTGGCAGGGCTGGATGCAAACACCCCCAGGCAGCACAGGGCAGCAGGTGGGATCCCTGCAGGCCGCCTGCCTGCCGTAGCCATCCGCACCCTCCGGTCTGCGGTGCCACCAGGTTCTTGAACAGCGGGGTGGCGACTGATCTGTGAGCTGCCGGGTACCTCACCGTCTGCACCCACCAAGATGTCTCCCTGCCTTGACTTGTGTTAAGTCAGCAGTCAGGCTCACAAGGTCATACAGCCCATCCACTTGGGGACAGAAAAGTGCCCCTCGTGCAGCGTGGGGGGCCCTTCCACAGAAGTCCTTCCCCACAGCAACCCGGGAGGCATCCACGTCGCTGCCCGGCTCCCAGCCCAGCTGCTGTCACAACAGACAGCTGCGGCAGCCAGCCCCAGCGGTGCCCAGCAGACACCATGCAAGGACGCCCGGCCTCCCTCCTGCAGGGGCGAACTAGTTGCAGGGTACAGGTAGGGCCCCCACCGGTGTCGTGAGGTATTCATCCTTCCCATCCAGGTGCAGTTTTCCCACCAGAGCTCAGAAGCAGCCTTCCGTGATAACACCGCTGACATAACTCCTCTGTCAGGTTCCCCAAGGAAAGGGCCAGGAAGTCGGGTTCTTCTATAGGAGAAAGGGTTTTGCTAACCATTTACCCACAGGCTCAAAGTCAGTTTAATGGCTCTCAAGTAGCATATTTTAAATAGATGGCATAAGATAGAATGTGGTAACAGTAAATATGGTTTGGTGGACTTTGACAGTTTCTATATATAATTGCTATTCATAGGAGAGTCGAAAATTAAAATGTGGTATATTTATGCAGCAGAATACTTCGACACATCAATTAAAAGGATGAACTTGATCAATTTTACTTATTTTTTAAGATTTATTTATGCATGCAGTGCAGACCAGAGATGCAGGGGGTGAGGATTCCCCAGAGACAGCGGGAGCAGAGTAGGCAGATTTACTGAAACACACTGCTGAGGGGAGCCGCAGGGAGACAGGACAGGAGGGGTGTGCTACGCTCTGGGGGTCGCTCCCTGCCCCGACAGACCTTGTGCTGTGGTGGCTGATGGTAGCTTGATAGCACTGGCCTTAACCCTGCACCGTCAGGGAGGGCCCAGACTTGATGAATTTTAGCAGCCCAGCTAGAGCTACGAGCATGACGTGGGCAAAGGGCTGACGAGATTGGCAGTTAGGACGCCAGGGGTGAAGCTCACAGGCAGGGGCGTGCTGGCGCGCTAGTTAGTGTGTGAGCACGCACATATGTGTGGCTGGTGACGGGATCAACACTTTCTGGCAATGAAAAGGAATTTATTTAGCAAATAAAACACTTTGGCAGTGCAAAAGGAAAGCGATACTAATCTATGCTAAATCTTACAGAAGCCAGAAATTATATGAAACATCTAATCAAGAAACATCTAGAATAGGCAAATTCATGCAAACAGAAGGTAGGTTAGTGGTGTCCATTAGGTAGGGGCTGGGGAGTGGGAATGGGAGTGATGGGGTGTGCTGACGTCAGAGAGGGGTGACGGTTTGCACCACTCAATGGAGGTACCCAGAACCCCCAAGCTGCACTCTTCAAAAGGAGGATCTATGCTACCTGGTGATATCGCAATAAAGCTGGTATAAGTGAAGGCCGCCCCAGGGGATCGGGGTGAGTCTCAGCACTGCGAGGTTGTCCCCAGCCACTGTGGCCTCAGTCTGATCCCCGCCAGGCAGGGACCCCAGGCCATAGCAGACCTCTCCTGTCTCCCCGCTGCCCCCTCAGCAGTGGATTGCGGTAGATTCGCTGTTCTGCTCCCCATTCTGTCTCTGGTGAGCCCTCTCACCCCTAGACCTCTGGTCTGCACCCCAGTTCTCTTGTGCATAAATAAATCTTTAAAAAGAAAATGATTCACCAAGATGGAAATAGAAATAGTTTTGGGCAGATGAACAATTACTTGTCCTCACTCAGAATGAGAGTAACAGAGGTCAGAATTATGCCGAGACACCTCGTTTAACCTATCAGAGTGGGGGGACGCATTACCCCGCCGCCACACGCCGTCACGCCCTCACACTGCACGTTGCTGGCCAGCGCCTGCCTCCTCGGCTGCTCTCCTGCTCTGTCTTACCAGCCTCCTCTCTGCCGTCCCAGCGCTGACACTACGTCAGCCCACAGCAGTTTCCCCAGAGGAGAATTCTCCCTAATTCTTGCTTGTGTTGTGTTGCCATGGGCCTGTGCCAATAAACAAGCAGGGAACTTCTGCATAACTGACGTGACTTCTGCTCTGGTAAGATCAGAAATCCTTGACACCCATGTTGTGGTAAGTCACGTGGCCAGCTCATTTTTATTGTCGGGGCAGTGGATTTCAGAGAGAACATTCAGTCTTGTTTTTTCTATTTATAAAGGGGAATTTCTGGGGAGTGGCTAGGAACTGGCATTTTCGGGAAATTTGAGCGATGACACTTTCTGGTGAGCTTT